TTGTTTGGGCGACTTCAGAATATCGAATTTTTCACCAGGCCCGGTCGTCCTGCCAAATTTCCTGAGTTTTCGCCAGTGGGAAGTGGGCCATTTTCCAGTTTAAAGCGGAGGAAAAATAATAATAATAATAACAAAAGAAGAATCCATCAGGAACAAGAGGGCTCTCGCAGCTGCTTAGCAGCTACGCTCGGGCCCTAACAAGAGGGCTCTCGCAGCTGCTTAGCAGCTACGCTCGGGCCCTAATAATAACACTAGGGCCCCGGTGGGGCACTGTCGGGCCCGAGCCGCGTCGCGCCACCCCCAGCGCGACCGCCTCCCCCTCCCGATCGCGTCACACTCAAGGTCCAAAGATGGTGTGCGCACTTGTCTGTGGTCATTTCCCATTATAATGAATGGGAGGCGCAGTTTCTACCAAAACGCTCGCTGCAGACAAACTCCATGTCCTATTTGAAAAAAGTCTGGACCATGAGTGAGGGCACAAACACAGCTAGTATATATCCAAATGGCAAGTTGCTCCTCCTTTCGGTTTTGCAGAGAGAGCGATGCGTTTGAGCCATTGAGCGATGGGCAGGAAAAACTTGACTTTTTCTCCTGCCATGGGGGGGCGCTCTTTTGGGGAGAAAAAATTCCTTCACAAATGTGTTGATGGCTGGACATTGCATCATCCTAGAAAACTTGGAGGCCAGTGAGGACAAAAATAAAAAGTTATAAGACTTTTAAAAATGTGGATATTTGGGTCCTCTTTGGCGCCCCCTAGAACGTAAACTGTGGGGTGCAGCGTCATGATTTGTACAACTTTGAATGGCCATGGGGTGTAGATTGACCTGAGCAAATTTGAAGCCGATGGGACAAAAGATTTAGGAGGAGTTAGCGAAATTCCAATGTGTGCGGATCGGCAAAAAATGCGAAATAACCCTTTAACCGTACATTTGACAGATACGCCCGCACTGACTTTTTTGTAGATCTTATTGAGATACATGTGTGTGTCAAATTTTGTGTCATTTTGACAAAGCGTAAAGGCGTGACACAGTCAACAATGTGTATTTTCGCCTTAGGAGACAAGAAAAAATGGACTTTTTTCTCCTGCCATGGGGGGGGGGGCGCTCTTTTGGCGAGTAAAAATTCCTTCACAAATGTGTTGATGGCTGGACATTGCATCATCCTAGAGAACTTGGAGGCCAGTGAGGACAAAAATAAAAAGTTATAAGACTTTTAAGACTGTGGATTTTTGGGTTATCTTTGGCGCCCCCTAGAACGTAAACCGTGGGGTGCAGCGTCATGATTTGTACAACTTTTAATGGCCATGGGGTGTAGATTGGCCTCAGCAAATGTGGTGCCTTTGGAACGAAAGCCTTCGGAGGAGTTAGCGAAATTCCAATGTGTGCGGATCGGCAAAAAATGCGAAATAGCCCTTTCACCGTACATTTGACAGATACGCCCGCACTGACTTTTTTGTAGATCTTATTGAGATACATGTGTGTGTCAATTTTTGTGTCAATATGACAAAGCGTAAAGGCGTGACAGTCAATAGTGTGAATTTTCGCCTTAGGAGACAAGAAAAAATGGACTTTTTTCTCCTGCCATGGGGGGGCGCTCTTTTGGGGAGTAAAAATTCCTTCACAAATGTGTTGATGGCTGGACATTGCATCATCCTAGAAAACTTGGAGGCCAGTGAGGACAAAAATAAAAAGTTATACGACTTTTAAGAATGTGGATTTCTGGGTTATCTTTGGCGCCCCCTAGAACGTAAACCGTGGGATGCAGCGTCATGATTTGTACAACTTTTAATGGCCATGGGGTGTAGATTGGCCTGAGCAAATTTGGTGCCGGTGGAACGAAAGCCTTTGGAGGAGTTAGCGAAATTCCAATGTGTGCGGATCGGCAAAAAATGCGAAATAGCCCTTTAACCGTACATTTGACAGATACGCCCGCACTGACTTTTTTGTAGATCTTATTGAGATACACGTGTGTGTCAAATTTTGTGTCATTTTGACAAAGCGTACAGGCGTGACACTCAATCATGTGAATTTTTCACCTTAGGGGGCGCTATGGAGCCATTTTGCATTTGATTTTTTGGGCGACTTCAGAATATCGAATTTTTCACCAGGCCCGGTCGTCCTGCCAAATTTCATGACTTTTCACCAGTGGGAAGTGGGCCATTTTCCAGTTCAAAGGGGCAGAAAAATAATAATAAGAAGAAGAAGAAAGAAGAATCCATCAGGAATAATAGGGCTCTCGCAGCTGCTTAGCAGCTACGCTCGGGCCCTAAAAAGAAGAATCCATCAGGAACAAGAGGGCTCTCGCAGCTGCTTAGCAGCTACGCTCGGGCCCTAATAACAAAAGAAGAATCCATCAGGAACAAGAGGGCTCTCGCAGCTGCTTAGCAGCTACGCTCGGGCCCTAATAACAAACTAGGGCCCCGGTGGGGCACTGTCGGGCCCGAGCCGCGTCGCGCCGCCCCCAGCGCGACCGCCTCCCCCTCCCGATCGCGTCACACTCAAGGTCCAAAGATGGTGTGCGCACTTGTCTGTGGTCATTTCCCATTATAATGAATGGGAGGCGCAGTTTCTACCAAAACACTCGCTGCAGACAAACTTCATGTCCTATTTGAAAAAAGTCTGGACCATGAGTGAGGGCACAAACACAGCTAGGAGATATCCAAATGGCAGGTTGCTCCTCCTTACGGTGTTGCCTGGAGAGCGATGCGATTGAGCCATTGAGCGATGGGCAGGAAAAACTTGACTTTTTCTCCTGCCATGGGGGGGGGCGGATGTGGATTCTTTTAAGAATGTGGATTTTTGGGTCATCTTTGGCGCCCCCTAGAACGTAAACCGTGGGGTGCAGCGTCATGATTTTTACAACTTTGAATGGCCATGGGGTGTAGATTGGCCTGAGTAAATTTGGTGTCAGTGGGACGAAAGCCTTAGGAGGAGTTAGCCACATTCCAATGTGTGCGAATCGGCAAAAAATGCGAAATAGCCCTTTAACCGTACATTTGACAGATACGCGCGCATTGACTTTTACGTAGATCTTATTGAGATACACGTGATTGTCAAATTTTGTGTCAATATGACAAAGCGTACAGGTGTCACACTCAACAATGTGAATTTTCACCTTAGGGGACAAGAAAAAATGGACTTTTTTCTCCTGCCATGGGGGGGCGCTCTTTTGGGGAGTAAAAATTCCTTCACAAATGTGTTGATGGCTGGACATTGCATCATCCTAGAAAACTTGGAGGCCAGTGAGGGCAAAAATAAAAAGTTATAAGACTTTTAAATATGTGGATCTTAGGGTTATCTTTGGCGCCCCCTAGAACCTAAACCGTGGGGCGCAGCGTCATGATTTGAATAACTTTTAATGGCCATGGGGTGTAGATTGGCCTGAGCAAATGTGGTGCTGGTGGAACGAAAGCCTTCGGAGGAGTTAGCGAAATTCCAATGTGTGCGGATCGGCAAAAAATGCGGAATAACCCTTTAACCGTACATTTGACAGATACGCGCGCACGGACTTTTTCGTAGATCTTATTGAGATACATGTGTGTGTCAATTTTTGTGTCATTTTGCCAAAGCGTACAGGTGTTACACTCAACAATGTGTATTTTCACCTTAGGGGACAAGAAAAAATGGACTTTTTTCTCCTGCCATGGGGGGGCGCTCTTTTGGGGAGTAAAAATTCCTTCACAAATGTGTTGATGGCTGGACATTGCATCATCCTAGAAAACTTGGAGGCCAGTGAGGGCAAAAATAAAAAGTTATAAGACTTTTAAATATGTGGATTTTAGGGTTATCTTTGGCGCCCCCTAGAACGTAAACCGTGGGGTGCAGCGTCATGATTTGAATAACTTTTAATGGCCATGGGGTGTAGATCGGCCTGAGCAAATGTGGTGCCGGTGGAAAGAAAGCCTTCGGAGGAGTTAGCGAAATTCCAATGTGTGCGGATCGGCAAAAAATGCGCAATAACCCTTTAACCGTACATTTGACAAATACGCCCGCACTGACTTTTTTGTAGATCTTATTGAGATACATGTGTGTGTCAATTTTTGTGTCATTTTGACAAAGCGTACAGGCTTGACAGTCAATAGTGTGAATTTTCACCTTAGGGGGCGCTATGGAGCCATTTTGCATTTTCTTGTTTGGGCGACTTCGGAATATCAAATTTTTCACCAGGCCCGGTCGTCCTGCCAAATTTCATGAGTTTTCGCCAGTGGGAAGTGGGCCATTTTCCAGTTCAAAGGGGAGGAAAAAGAAACTAGGGCCCCGGTGGGGCACTGTCGGGCCCGAGCCGCGTCGCGCCGCCCCTAGCGCGACCGCCTCCCCCTCCCGATCGCGTCACACTCAAGGTCCAAAGATGGTGTGCGCACTTGTCTGTGGTCATTTCCCATTATAATGAATGGGAGGCGCAGTTTCTACCAAAACACTCGCTGCAGACAAACTTCATGTCCTATTTGAAAAAAGTCTGGACCATGAGTGAGGGCACAAACACAGCTATGATATATCGAAATGGCAGGTTGCTCCTCCTTACGGTGTTGCCTGGAGAGCGATGCGATTGAGCCATTGAGCGATGGGCAGGGTTAACTTGACTTTTTCTCCTGCCTTGGGGGGGGGGATGTGGATTCCTTTAAGAATGTGGATTTTTGGGTCATCTTTGGCGCCCCCTAGAACGTAAACCGTGGGGTGCAGCGTCATGATTTTTACAACTTTGAATGGCCATGGGGTGTAGATTGGCCTGAGCAAATTTGGTGTCAGTGGGACGAAAGCCTTAGGAGGAGTTAGCCACATTCCAATGTGTGCGAATCGGCAAAAAATGCAAAATAGCCCTTTAACCGTACATTTGACAGATACGCGCGCGTTGACTTTTTTGTAGATCTTATTGAGATACATATGTGTGTCAATTTTTGTGTCAATATGATAAAGCGTACAGGCGTGACAGTCAATAGTGTGAATTTCCACCTTAGGGGACAAGAAAAAATGGACTTTTTTCTCCTGCCATGGGGGGGCGCTCTTTTGGGGAGTAAAAATTCCTTCACAAATGTGTTGATGGCTGGACATTGCATCATCCTAGAAAACTTGGAGGCCAGTGAGGACAAAAATAAAAAGTTATAAGACTTTTAAATATGTGGATTTTAGGGTTATCTTTGGCGCCCCCTAGAACCTAAACCGTGGGGTGCAGCGTCATGATTTGAATAACTTTTAATGGCCATGGGGTGTAGATTGGCCTGAGCAAATGTGGTGCCGGTGGAACGAAAGCCTTCGGAGGAGTTAGCGAAATTCCAATGTGTGCGGATCGGCAAAAAATGCGGAATAACCCTTTAACCGTACATTTGACAGATACGCGCGCATTGACTTTTTCGTAGATCTTATTGAGATACACGTGTGTGTCAATTTTTGTGTCATTTTGCCAAAGCGTACAGGTGTTACACTCAACAATGTGTATTTTCACCTTAGGGGACAAGAAAAAATGGACTTTTTTCTCCTGCCATGGGGGGCGCTCTTTTGGGGAGTAAAAATTCCTTCACAAATGTGTTGATGGCTGGACATTGCATCATCCTAGAAAACTTGGAGGCCAGTGAGGGCAAAAATAAAAAGTTATAAGACTTTTAAATATGTGGATCTTAGGGTTATCTTTGGCGCCCCCTAGAACCTAAACCGTGGGGTGCAGCGTCATGATTTGAATAACTTTTAATGGCCATGGGGTGTAGATTGGCCTGAGCAAATGTGGTGCCGGTGGAACGAAAGCCTTCGGAGGAGTTAGCGAAATTCCAATGTGTGCGGATCGGCAAAAAATGCGAAATAACCCTTTAACCGTACATTTGACAGATACGCCCGCACTGACTTTTTTGTAGATCTTATTGAGATACATGTGTGTGTCAATTTTTGTGTCATTTTGACAAAGCGTACAGGCGTGACAGTCAATAGTGTGAATTTTCACCTTAGGGGGCGCTATGGAGCCATTTTGCATTTTCTTGTTTGGGCGACTTCGGAATATCAAATTTTTCACCAGGCCCGGTCGTCCTGCCAAATTTCCTGAGTTTTCGCCAGTGGGAAGTGGGCCATTTTCCAGTTCAAAGGGGAGGAAAAATAATAACTAGGACCCCGTTGGGGCACTGGCGGGCCCGAGCCGTGTCGCGTCCCCCCCCAACGTGCTGCCTCCCCGTCCCATTTGTGTCCTCTGGCCATCGCCCTCTCTGGTAACGCCCATCACTGCAAAGACCCTTTTCCTTCATCGGCGTTTGCTGTTCTTCCTGCCAGTGCGTGTTGCTTTCACTTACACTTGCCACAGCCAGCCTCGTGAGTGCCTAGCCTATTCGATATCACTGTCACCTACACAGGACAGTCATTACCTTTCTATTAATACTTTGTGTTTTAATTTCACATTAATTTCCATATTGTATAAACGACTGGAAAAAACTTGAGCCCCTGCCCCTGTATAATCATGTGCACGTCCCTGTTCTCGCTCCAAGGTGAATCTTCACTGCTCATGTTCTCCTCAGAAGCAGTCACCTCACTCCCCTCAGGTTACTGTACACATGCACCAACTGCCTGCTTCAGGTTTGGATGGAGCTTCATGGTTGTCATTTGGAGAAATGAACAGTCAAGTTGTGTTTGAAATTTAATTTTTTTCAGGGGCAAAAGGAAGCCTCTGCATTCTTGTCAAATATGTAAACAGCATGTTTTTGCAGGTGCTAAAAAACAGACTCTGAGTGTGTGTGTGTGTGTGTGTGTGTGTGTGTGTGTGTGTGTGTGTGTGTGTATGTGTGTGTATCTTGCAGTACTCTGTACTCCTGCAGTGACCAAAAAGACTTTTAAGAATGTGGATTTTTGGGTCATCTTTGGCGCCCCCTAGAACGTAAACCGTGGGGTGCAGCGGCATGATTTTTACAACTTTGAATGGGCATGGGGTGTAGATTGCCCTGAGCAAATTTGGTATCAGTGGGACGAAAGCCTTAGGAGGAGATAGCCACATTCCAATGTGTGCGAATCGGCAAAAAATGCAAAATAGCCCTTTAACCGTACATTTGACAGATACGTGCCTATTGACTTTTTTGTAGATCTTATTGAGATACATGTGTGTGTCAATTTTTGTGTCATTTTGACAAAGCGTACAGGCGTGACAGTCAATAGTGTGAATTTTCACCTTAGGGGACAAGAAAAAATGGACTTTTTTCTCCTGCCATGGGGGGGCGCTCTTTTGGGGAGTAAAAATTCCTTCACAAATGTGTTGATGGCTGGACATTGCATCATCCTAGAAAACTTGGAGGCCAGTGAGGAGAAAAATAAAAAGTTATAAGACTTTTAAGACTGTGGATTTTTGGGTTATCTTTGGCGCCCCCTAGAACGTAAACCGTGGGGTGCAGCGTCATGATTTGAATAACTTTTAATGGCCATGGGGTGTAGATTGGCCTGAGCAAATGTGGTGCCGGTGGAACGAAAGCCTTCGGAGGAGTTAGCGAAATTCCAATGTGTGCGGATCGGCAAAAAATGCGAAATAACCCTTTAACCGTACATTAGACAGATACGCGCGCATGGACTTTTTTGTAGATCTTATTGAGATACATGTGTGTGTCAATTTTTGTGTCATTTTGACAAAGCGTACAGGCGTGACAGTCAATAGTGTGAATTTTCACCTTAGGGGACAAGAAAAAATGGACTTTTTTCTCCTGCCATGGGGGGGCGCTCTTTTGGGGAGTAAAAATTCCTTCACAAATGTGTTGATGGCTGGACATTGCATCATCCTAGAAAACTTGGAGGCCAGTGAGGGCAAAAATAAAAAGTTATAAGACTTTTAAATATGTGGATTTTAGGGTTATCTTTGGCGCCCCCTAGAACCTAAACCGTGGGGTGCAGCGTCATGATTTGAATAACTTTTAATGGCCATGGGGTGTAGATTGGCCTGAGCAAATGTGGTGCCGGTGGAACGAAAGCCTTCGGAGGAGTTAGCGAAATTCCAATGTGTGCGGATCGGCAAAAAATGCGAAATAACCCTTTAACCGTACATTTGACAGATACGCCCGCACTGACTTTTTTGTAGATCTTATTGAGATACATGTGTGTGTCAATTTTTGTGTCATTTTGACAAAGCGTACAGGCGTGACAGTCAATAGTGTGAATTTTCACCTTAGGGGGCGCTATGGAGCCATTTTGCATTTTCTTGTTTGGGCGACTTCGGAATATCAAATTTTTCACCAGGCCCGGTCGTCCTGCCAAATTTCATGAGTTTTCGCCAGTGGGAAGTGGGCCATTTTCCAGTTCAAAGGGGAGGAAAAATAATAATAACTAGGACCCCGTTGGGGCACTGGCGGGCCCGAGCCGTGTCGCCCCCCCCCCCCCCCAACGCGCTGCCTCCCCGTCCCATTTGTGTCCTCTGGCCATCGCCCTCTCTGGTAACGCCCATCACTGCAAAGACCCTTTTCCTTCATCGGCGTTTGCTGTTCTTCCTGCCAGTGCGTGTTGCTTTCACTTACACTTGCCACAGCCAGCCTCGTGAGTGCCTAGCCTATTCGATATCACTGTCACCTACACAGGACAGTCATTACCTTTCTATTAATACTTTGTGTTTTAATTTCACATTAATTTCCATATTGTATAAACGACTGGAAAAAACTTGAGCCCCTGCCCCTGTATAATCATGTGCATGTCTCTGTTCTAGCTCCAAGGTGAATCTTCACTGCTCATGTTCTCCTCAGAAGCACTCACCTCACTCCCCTCAGGTTACTGTACACATGCACCAACTGCCTGCTTCAGGTTTGGATGGAGCTTCATGGTTGTCTTTTGGAGAAATGACCAGTCAAGTTGTGTTTGAAATTTGATTTTTTTCAGGGGCAAAAGGAGCCTCTGCATTCTTGTCAAATATGTAAATAGCATGTTTTTGCAGGTGCTAAAAACCAGACTCTGAGTGTGTGTGTGTGTGTGTGTGTGTGCGTGTGTGTGTGTCTGTGTGTGCGTTCAAGTCACATGACATATTTAACCAGATGTAGCTGCAAGACGGAGCCTCGTTGACTCTCCGTTTCAACTTATCTCAAAAGTGAGGACCTCAACCTATATACCAGTTTTTAAATTGTGTTGATAGGCCAAATAAAACCAGAGTTATGATAAATTATGTCCGCGATACTTTTTTTCTGCTTATTTTGATCACGTTCGGCGCTCGATCGCGCTGTATGAGACAGGAAAACATAGCATGCAGACATTAGCGACAGCTCTTACAGGCGGAAAAGGCTTGCCAAAAGAAAAAAAAAACACACCACAACATCTCTCCTATTGGTGGAAAACTTCACCACAACAACCAATCCAAAATTATATGGTGACTGATTGACAAGGGCCGGGCGCTTACGTTCTTCCTGCAATATGAGAAGGGAGGGAGGGACTCTCAGCAGGGATGCAGTCTGGGACACGTAGTTGCAAACCTAGCGACTTTGTTGTTAGATTCAATGACTTTTCAGACCCCCTAACGACTTTTTAGAAAGAAAGGGACTTTTATCGACTTCTTCTGGAGTTTAGAGACTCTGACATGAAGCAGGCTTTCCTTACTGAGGAGTTAGCAACGCTGCTAAGGGTGCAGAGCCACACATGCGCTCAGAGCTCTGCATGGGAGACTGAAGCTGACAGAGCTGCAGCAGTTAGCAGGTTTCACCCTCAGAGACCACCAGGGGTTCATGTTGAGGCATTTTCAGTTTTTTTTTTTTTTTGTGCCATAGACACTGTCAGCACAATCTGCAGTTACACTAACAAAAATGCTGCAAAAAACAAAGAATTATGGAAAAATTACACATGGACTGACATAGAGGAGGATCTACACAAGTTTTTTACATCATGTTTTACATCATGCATCATTTACATCATGTTTTTTTGTAGTGGCATAAATAAAAAGTGACATTTGTGAGACTATACAGTGTTTTGTAAATAATTTTACAAAGAACGCCTGGGCCATTGCCTGCATTTTGATGTAAATAGAGGTAAATCACTATGTTCTTTGTTAAAAATTTGCATATGTTTTGAAGTTTACAATTTTTATTTGAAGTTTAAGTTTTAAAAACAGTTCATCACACATATTTGTGGTTTTCACAGTAAAAATGTTACTTTTTTCCACTCGGATTTTATGTTTTGTGTGTGAATTTGGGTCCATTGTGTAAATTCAGTATGTCAACATGATAAAATAACTGTAAATTCGCACAGGTGAGGTTGTGCTGAAAAAAATGATACCAGGCAAGGCACGTGATTGTCAAATTTTGTGTCAATATGACAAAACGTATAGGCGTGAATCTCAACAATATGTATTTTCACCTTAAGGGACAAGAAAAAATGGACTTTTTTCTCCTGCCATGGGGGGGCGCTCTTTTGGGGAGTAAAAATTCCTTCACAAATGTGTTGATGGCTGGACATTGCATCATCCTAGAAAACTTGGAGGCCAGTGAGGGCAAAAATAAAAAGTTATAAGACTTTTAAATATGTGGATTTTAGGGTTTTCTTTGGCGCCCCCTAGAACGTAACTGTGGGGTGCAGCGTCATGATTTTGATAACTTTTAATGGCCATGGGGTGTAGATTGGCCTGAGCAAATGTGGTGCCGGTGGAACGAAAGCCTTAGGAGGAGTTAGCCACATTCCAATGTGTGCGGATCTGCAAAAAATGTGAAATAACCCTTTAACTGTACATTTTACATATACGTGGCCATTGACTTTTTCGAAGATCTTATTGAAATACACGTGTATGTCAAATTTTGTGTCATTTTGACAAAGCGTACAGGCGTGACACTCTACAATGTGTATTTTCACCTTAGGGGACAAGAAAAAATGGACTTTTTTCTCCTGCCATGGGGGGGCGCTCTTTTGGGGAGTAAAAATTCCTTCACAAATGTGTTGATGGCTGGACATTGCATCATCCTAGAAAACTTGGAGGCCAGTGAGGGCAAAAATAAAAAGTTATAAGACTTTTAAATATGTGGATTTTAGGGTTATCTTTGGCGCCCCCTAGAACGTAAACTGTGGGGTGCAGCGTCATGATTTTGATAACTTTTAATGGCCATGGGGTGTAGATTGGCCTGAGCAAATGTGGTGCCGGTGGAACGAAAGCCTTAGGAGGAGTTAGCCACATTCCAATGTGTGCGGATCGGCAAAAAATGCGGAATAACCCTTTAACCGTACATTTGACAGATACGCGCGCATTGACTTTTTCGTAGATCTTATTGAGTTACATGTGTGTGTCAATTTTTGTGTCATTTTGACAAAGCGTATAGGCGTGACACTCAACAATGTGTATTTTCACCTTAGGGGACAAGAAAAAATGGACTTTTTTCTCCTGCCATGGGGGGGCGCTCTTTTGGGGAGTAAAAATTCCTTCACAAATGTGTTGATGGCTGGACATTGCATCATCCTAGAAAACTTGGAGGCCAGTGAGGACAAAAATAAAAAGTTATAAGACTTTTAAATATGTGGATTTTAGTGTTATCTTTGGCGCCCCCTAGAACCTAAACCTTGGGGTGCAGCGTCATGATTTTGATAACTTTTAATGGCCACGGGGTGTAGATTGGCCTGAGCAAATGTGGTGCCGGTGGAACGAAAGCCTTCGGAGGAGTTAGCGAAATTCCAATGTGTGCGGATCTGCAAAAAATGCGCAATAACCCTTTAACCGTACATTTGACAGATACGACCGCACTGACTTTTTTGTAGATCTTATTGAGATACATGTGTGTGTCAATTTTTGTGTCATTTTGACAAAGCGTACAGGCGTGACAGTCAATAGTGTGAATTTTCACCTTAGGGGGCGCTATGGAGCCATTTTGCATTTTCTTGTTTGGGCGACTTCGGAATATCAAATTTTTCACCAGGCCCGGTCGTCCTGCCAAATTTCATGAGTTTTCGCCAGTGGGAAGTGGGCCATTTTCCAGTTCAAAGGGGAGGAAAAAGAAAAAAGAAAGAAAGAAACAAAGAAAAACCACTTGGGGAATAATAGGGCCTACGCCCGGCTGCTCTGCAGCTGGCTCGGGCCCTAATAACACTAGGGCCCCGGTGGGGCACTGTCGGGCCCGAGCCGCGTCGCGCCGCCCCCAGTGCGACCGCCTCCCCCTCCCGATCGCGTCACACTCAAGATCCAAAGATGGTGTGCGCACTTGTCTGTGGTCATTTCCCATTATAATGAATGGGAGGCGCAGTTTCTACCAAAACACTCGCTGCAGACAAACTTCATGTCCTATTTGAAAAAAGTCTGGACCATGAGTGAGGGCACAAACACAGCTATGATATATCGAAATGGCAGGTTGCTCCTCCTTACGGTGTTGCCTGGAGAGCGATGCGATTGAGCCATTGAGCGATGGGCAGGAAAAACTTGACTTTTTCTCCTGCCATATGGGGGGGGGGGGGGGGGGGGATGTGGATTCTTTTAAGAATGTGGATTTTTGGGTCATCTTTGGCGCCCCCTAGAACGTAAACCGTGGGGTGCAGCGTCATGATTTTTACAACTTTGAATGGCCATGGGGTGTAGATTGGCCTGAGCAAATTTGGTGTCAGTGGGACGAAAGCCTTAGGAGGAGTTAGCCACATTCCAATGTGTGCGAATCGGCAAAAAATGCAAAATAGCCCTTTAACCGTACATTTGACAGATACGCGCGAATCGACTCTTTTGTAGATCTTATTGAGATACATATGTGTGTCAATTTTTGTGTCAATATGATAAAGCGTACAGGCGTGACAGTCAATAGTGTGAATTACCACCTTAGGGGACAAGAAAAAATTGGCTTTTTTTTCCTGCCATGGGGGGGCGCTCTTTTGGGGAGTAAAAATTCCTTCACAAATGTGTTGATGGCTGGACATTGCATCATCCTAGAAAACTTGGAGGCCAGTGAGGACAAAAATAAAAAGTTATAAGACTTTTAATTATGTGGATTTTAGGGTTATCTTTGGCGCCCCCTAGAACCTAAACCGTGGGATGCAGCGTCATGATTTGAATAACTTTTAATGGCCATGGGGTGTAGATTGGCCTGAGCAAATGTGGTACCGGTGGAACGAAAGCCTTCGGAGGAGTTAGCGAAATTCCAATGTGTGCGGATCAGCAAAAAATGCGGAATAACCCTTTAACCGTACATTTGACAGATACGCGCGCATTGACTTTTTCGTAGATCTTATTGAGATACATGTGTGTGTCAATTTTTGTGTCATTTTGCCAAAGCGTACAGGTGTTACACTCAACAATGTGTATTTTCACCTTAGGGGACAAGAAAAAATGGACTTTTTTCTCCTGCCATGGGGGGGCGCTCTTTTGGGGAGTAAAAATTCCTTCACATATGTGTTGATGGCTGGACATTTCATCATCCTAGAAAACTTGGAGGCCAGTGAGGGCAAAAATAAAAAGTTATAAGACTTTGAAATATGTGGATCTTAGGGTTATCTTTGGCGCCCCCTAGAACCTAAACCGTGGGGTGCAGCGTCATGATTTGAATAACTTTTAATGGCCATGGGGTGTAGATTGGCCTGAGCAAATGTGGTGCCGGTGGAACGAAAGCCTTCGGAGGAGTTAGCGAAATTCCAATGTGTGCGGATCGGCAAAAAATGCGAAATAACCCTTTAACCGTACATTTGACAGATACGCCCGCACTGACTTTTTTGTAGATCTTATTGAGATACATGTGTGTGTCAATTTTTGTGTCATTTTGACAAAGCGTACAGGCGTGACAGTCAATAGTGTGAATTTTCACCTTAGGGGGCGCTATGGAGCCATTTTGCATTTTCTTGTTTGGGCGACTTCGGAATATCAAATTTTTCACCAGGCCCGGTCGTCCTGCCAAATTTCATGAGTTTTCGCCAGTGGGAAGTGGGCCATTTTCCAGTTCAAAGGGGAGGAAAAATAATAATAATAATAACAAAAGAAGGAAACATGCAGGAACAAGAGGGCTCTCGCAGCTGCTTAGCAGCTACGCTCGGGCCCTAATAACAAAAGAAGGAAACTACAGGAACAAGAGGGCTCTCGCAGCTGCTTAGCAGCTACGCTCGGGCCCTAATAACAAAAGAAGGAAACTACAGGAACAAGAGGGCTCTCGCAGCTGCTTAGCAGCTACGCTCGGGCCCTAACTAGGGCCCCGGTGGGGCACTGTCGGGCCCGAGCCGCGTCGCGCCGCCCCCAGCGCGACCGCCTCCCCCTCCCGATCGCGTCACACTCAAGGTCCAAAGATGGTGTGCGCACTTGTCTGTGGTCATTTCCCATTATAATGAATGGGAGGCGCAGTTTCTACCAAAACACTCGCTGCAGACAAACTGCATGTCCTATTTGAAAAAAGTCTGGACCAGGAGTGAGGGCACAAACACAGCTAGGATATATCCAAACGGCAAGTTGCTCCTCGTTACGGTGTTGCCGGGAGAGCGATGCGATTGAGCCATTGAGTGATGGGCAGGAAAAACTTGACTGTTTCTCCTGCCATGGGGGATGGGGGATGGGGGATGGGGGGGGGGATTCTTTTAAGAATGTGGATATTTGGGTCAACTTTGGCGCCCCCTAGAACGTAAACCGTGGGGTGCAGCGTCATGATTTTTACAACTTTGAATGGCCATGGGGTGTAGATTGGCCTGAGCAAATTTGGTGTCAGTGGGACGAAAGCCTTAGGAGGAGTTAGCCACATTCCAATGTGTGCGAATCGGCAAAAAATGCAAAATAGCCCTTTAACCGTACATTTTACAGATACGCGCGCATTGACTTTTTCGTAGATCTTATTGAGATACATGTGATTGTCAAATTTTGTGTCAATATGACAAAGCGTACAGGTATGACAGTCAACAATGTGTTTTTTCACCTTATGGGACAAGAAAAAATGGACTTTTTTCTCCTGCCATGGGGGGGCGCTCTTTTGGGGAGTAAAAATTCCTTCACAAATGTGTTGATGGCTGGACATTGCATCATCCTAGAGAACTTGGAGGCCAGTGAGGACAAAAATAAAAAGTTATAAGACTTTGAAATATGTGGATTTTAGGGTTATCTTTGGCGCCCCCTAGAACCTAAACTGTGGGGTGCAGTGTCATGATTTGAATAACTTTTAATGGCCATGGGGTGTAGATTGGCCTGAGCAAATGTGGTGCCGGTGGAACGCCAGCCTTAGGAGGAGTTAGCGAAATTCCAATGTGTGCGGATCAGCAAAAAATGCGGAATAACCCTTTAACCGTACATTTGACAGATACGCGCGCATTGACTTTTTCGTAGATCTTATTGAGATACATGTGTGTGTCAAATTTTGTGTCAATATGACAAAGCGTACAGGCGTGACACTCAACAATGTGTATTTTCACCTTAGGGGACAAGAAAAAATGGACTTTTTTCTCCTGCCATGGGGGGGCGCTCTTTTGGGGATTAAAAATTCCTTCACAAATGTGTTGATGGCTGGACATTGCATCATCCTAGAAAACTTGGAGGCCAGTGAGGGCAAAAATAAAAAGTTATAAGACTTTTAAATATGTGGATTTTAGGGTTATCTTTGGCGCCCCCTAGAACCTAAACCGTGGGGTGCAGCGTCATGATTTGAATAACTTTTAATGGCCATGGGGTGTAGATTGGCCTGAGCAAATGTGGTGCCGGTGGAACGAAAGCCTTCGGAGGAGTTAGCGAAATTCCAATGTGTGCGGATCGGCAAAAAATGCGAAATAACCCTTTAACCGTACATTTGACAGATACGCCCGCACTGACTTTTTTGTAGATCTTATTGAGATACATGTGTGTGTCAATTTTTGTGTCATTTTGACAAAGCGTACAGGCGTGACAGTGAATACTGTGAATTTTCACCTTAGGGGGCGCTATGGAGCCATTTTGCATTTTCTTGTTTGGGCGACTTCGGAATATCAAATTTTTCACCAGGCCCGGTCGTCCTGCCAAATTTCATGAGTTTTCGCCAGTGGGAAGTGGGCCATTTTCCAGTTCAAAGGGGAGGAAAAATAATAACTAGGGCCCCGTTGGGGCACTGGCGGGCCCGAGCCGTGTCGCGCTGCCCCCCCAACGCGCTGCCTCCCCGTCCCATTCGCGTCCTCTGGCCATCGTCCTCTCTGGTAACGCCCATCACTGCAAAGACCCTTTTCCTTCATCTGCGTTTGCTGTTCTTCCTGCCAGTGCGTGTTGCTTTCACTTGCACTTGCCACAGCCAGCCTCGTGAGTGCCTAGCCTATTGGATATCACTGTCATCTACACAGGACAGTCATAACCTTTCTATTAATACTTTGTTTTTTAATTTCACATTAATTTCCATATTGTATAAATGACTGGAAAAAACTTGAGCTCCTGCCCCTGTATAATCATGTGCACGTCCCTGTTCTAGCTCCAAGGTGAATCTTCACTGCTCATGTTCTCCTCAGAAATAGTCACCTCACTCCCCTCAGGTTACTGTACACATGCACCAACTATCTGCTTCAGGTTTGGATGGAGCTTCATGGTTGTCTTTTGGAGAAATGAACAGTCAAGTTGTGTTTGAAATTTGATTTTTTTCAGGGGCAAAAGGAAGCCTCTGCATTCTTGTCAAATATGTAAACAGCATGTTTTTGCAGGTGCTAAAAAACAGACTCTGAGTGTGTGTGTGTGTGTGTGTGTGTGTGTGTGTGTGTGTGTGTGTGTGTGTGTGTGTGTGTGTGTGTGTTTGGCGTGTGTGTATATGTGTGTGTATCCTGCAGTACTCTGTACTCCTGCAGTGGCCAAAAAGACTTTTAAGAATGTGGATTTTTGGGTCATCTTTGGCGCCCCCTAGAACTGCAGTACTCTGTACTCCTGCAGTGGCCAAAATGACTTTTAAGAATGTGGATTTTTGGGTCATCTTTGGCGCCCCCTAGAACGTAAACCGTGGGGTGCAGCATCATGGTTTTTACAACTTTGAATGGGCATGGGGTGTAGATTGCCCTGAGCAAATTTGGTATCAGTGGGACGAAAGCCTTAGGAGGAGATAGCCACATTCCAATGTGTGCGAATTGGCAAAAAATGCGAAATAGCCCTTTAACCGTACATTATACAGATACGTGCTTTTTGACTTTTTCGTAGATCTAATTGAGATACACATGATTGTCAATTTTTGTGTCAATATGACAAAGCGTTCAGGCGTGACACTCAACAATGTGTATTTTCATGTAAGGGGACAAGAAAAAATTGACTTTTTTCTCCTGCCATGGGGGGCGCTCTTTTGGGGAGTAAAAATTCCTTCACAAATGTGTTGATGGCTGGACATTGCATCATCCTAGAAAACTTGGAGGGCAGTGAGGACAAAAATAAAAAGTTATAAGACTTTTAAGAATGTGGATTTTGGGTTATCTTTGGCGCCCCCTAGAACGTAAACCGTGGGGTGCAGCATCATGATTTGTACAACTTTTAATGGCCATGGGGGGTAGATTGGCCTGCACAAATGTGGTGCCGGTCGAACGAAAGCCTTCGGAGGAGTTAGCGAAATTCCAATGTGTGCAGATCTGCAAAAAATGCAAAATAACCCATTAACCGTACATTTGACAGATACGCCCGCACTGACTTTTTTGTAGATCTTATTGAGATACATGTGTGTGTCAATTTTTGTGTCAATATGACAAAGCGTACAGCCGTCATGTGAATTTTCACCTTAGGGGGCGCTATGGAGCCATTTTGCATTTTATTGTTTGGGTGACTTCAAAATATCGAATTTTTCACCAGGCCCGGTCGTCCTGCCAAATTTCATGAGTTTTCGCCAGTGGGAAGTGGGCCATTTTCCAGTTTAAAGCGGAGGAAAAATAATAACGAAAGAAGGAAACATGCAGGAACAAGAGGGCTCTCGCAGCTGCTTAGCAGCTACGCTCGGGCCCTAATAATAACACTAGGACCCTGTTGGGGCACTGGCGGGCCCGAGCTGTGTCGCGTCCCCCCCAACGCGCTGCCTCCCCGTCCCATTTGTGTCCTCTGGCCATCGCCCTCTCTGGTAACGCCCATCACTGCAAAGACCCTTTTCCTTCATCGGCGTTTGCTGTTCTTCCTGCCAGTGCGTGTTGCTTTCACTTACACTTGCCACAGCCAGCCTCTTGAGTGCCTAGCCTATTGGATATCACTGTCACCTACTCAGGACAGTCATTACCTTTCTATTAATACTTTGTGTTTTAATTTCACATTAATTTCCATATTGTATAAACAACTGGAAAAAACTTGAGCCCCTGCCCCTGTATAATCATGTGCACGTCTCTGTTCTAGCTCTAAGGTGAATCTTCACTGCTCATGTTCTCCTCAGAAGCAGTCACCTCACTCCCCTCAGGTTACTGTACACATGCACCAACTGCCTGCTTCAGGTTTGGATGGAGCTTCATGGTTGTCTTTTGGAGAAATGACCAGTCAAGTTGTGTTTGAAATTAGATTTTTTTCAGGGGCAAAAGGAGCCTCTGCATTCTTGTCAAATATGTAAATAGCATGTTTTTGCAGGTGCTAAAAACCAGACTCTGAGTGTGTGTGTGTGTGTGTGTGTGTGTGTGTGTGTGTGTGTGTGTGTGTGTGTGTGTGTGTGTGTGTGTGTGTGTGTGTGTGTGTGTGTGTGCGTTCAAGTCACATGACATATTTAACCGGATGTAGCTGCAAGACGGAGCCTCGTTGACTCCGTTTCAACTTATCTCTAAAGTGAGGACCTCAACCTATATACCAGTTTTTAATTGTGTTGATAGGCCAAATAAAACCAGAGTTATGATAAATTATGTCCGCGATACTTGTTTTCTGCTTATTTTGATCACGTTCGGCGCTCGATCGCGCTGTATGAGACAGGAAAACATAGCATGCAGACATTAGCGACAGGTCTTACAGGCGGAAAAGGCTTGCCAAAGGAAAAAAGAAACACACCACAACATCTCTCCTATTGGTGGAAAACTTCACCACAACAACCAATCCAAAATTATATGGTGACTGATTGACAAGGGGCGGGCGCTTACGTTCTTCCTGCAATATGAGAAGGGAGGGAGGGACTCTCAGCAGGGATGCAGTCTGGGACACGTAGTTGCAAACCTAGCGACTTTGTTGTTAGATTCAATGACTTTTCAGACCCCCTAACGACTTTTTTTTAGAAAGAAAGTGACTTTTATCAACTTCTTCTGGAGTTTAGAGACTCTGACATGAAGCAGGCTTTCCTTACTGAGGAGTTAGCAACGCTGCTAAGGGTGCAGAGCCACACATGCGCTCCGAGCTCTGCATGGGAGACTGAAGCTGACAGAGCTGCAGCAGTTAGCAGGTTTCACCCTCAGAGACCACCAGGGGTTCATGTTGAGGCATTTTCAGTTTTTTTTTTTTTTTTGCCATAGACACTGTCAGCACAATCTGCAGTTACACTAACAAAAATGCTGCAAAAAACAAAGAATTATGGAAAAATTACACATGGACTAACATAGAGGAGGATATACACAAGTTTTTTACATCATGTTTTACATCATGCATCATTTACATCATGTTTTTTTGTAGTGGCATAAATAAAAAGTGACATTTGTGAGACTATACAGTGTTTTGTAAATAATTTTACAAAGAACACCTGGGCCATTGCCTGCATTTTGATGTAAATAGAGGTAAATTACTATGTTCTTTGTTAAAAATTTGCATATGTTTTGAAGTTTACAATTTTTATTTGAAGTTTAAGTTTTAAAAACAGTTCATCACACATATTTGTGGTTTTCACAGTAAAAACGTTACTTCTTTCCACTCGGATTTTATGTTTTGTGTGTGAATTTGGGTCCAATGTGTAAATATAGTATGTCAAAATGATAAAATAACTGTAAATTGACACAGGTGAGGTTGTGCTGAAAAAAATGATACCAGGCAAGGCAAGGTAAAAATTTTGTAAGAGGAAATATAAAGGTAAAATCTAAAGTAGTCAAAAACGGCCAATAGTGACTCACAGACTCCACAGACAAGTCCCTTTGGCGCCACTCAGTGGGCAAAACTACTTTGTCTACTGTAATGTATATTTGGGTCATCTTTGGCGCCCCCTAAAACGTAAACCGTGGGGTGCAGCGTCATGATTTTTACAACTTTGAATGGCCATGGAGTGTAGATTGGCCCGAGCAAATTTGGTGTCAGTGGGACGAAAGCCTTAGGAGGAGTTAGCGAAATTCCAATGTGTGCGAATCGGCAAAAAATGCAAAATAGCCCTTTTACCGTACATTATACAGATACGCGCTCTTTGACTTTTTCGTAGATCTAATTGAGATACACATGATTGTCAATTTTTGTGTCATTTTGCCAAAGCGTACAGGCGTGACAGTCAACAATGTGTATTTTCACCTTAGGGGACAAGAAAAAATGGACTTTTTTCTCCTGCCATGGGGGGCGCTCTTTTAGGGAGTAAAAATTCCTTCACAAATGTGTTGATGGCTGGACATTGCATCATCCTAGAAAACTTGGAGGCCAGTGAGGACAAAAATAAAAAGTTATAAGACTTTTAAAAATGTGGATTTTTGGGTTATCTTTGGCGCCCCCTAGAACGTAAACCGTGGGGTGCAGCGTCATGATTTGAATAACTTTTAATGGCCATGGGGTGTAGATTGGCCTGAGCAAATGTGGTGCCGGTGGAACGAAAGCCTTCGGAGGAGTTAGCGAAATTCCAATGTGTGCGAATCGGCAAAAAATGCGGAATAACCCTTTAACCGTACATTTGACAGATACGCGCGCATGGACTTTTTTGTAGATCTTATTGAGATACATGTGTGTGTCAATTTTTGTGTCATTTTGACAAAGCGTACAGGCGTGACACTCAACAATGTGTATTTTCACCTTAGGGGACAAGAAAAAATGGACTTTTTTCTCCTGCCATGGGGGGGCGCTCTTTTGGGGAGTAAAAATTCCTTCACAAATGTGTTGATGGCTGGACATTGCATCATCCTAGAAAACTTGGAGGCCAGTGAGGGCAAAAATAAAAAGTTATAAGACTTTTAAATATGTGGATTTTAGGGTTATCTTTGGCGCCCCCTAGAACCTAAACCGTGGGGTGCAGCGTCATGATTTGAATAACTTTTAATGGCCATGGGGTGTAGATTGGCCTGAGCAAATGTGGTGCCGGTGGAACGAAAGCCTTCGGAGGAGTTAGCGAAATTCCAATGTGTGCGGATCGGCAAAAAATGCGAAATAACCCTTTAACCGTACATTTGACAGATACGCCCGCACTGACTTTTTTGTAGATCTTATTGAGATACATGTGTGTGTCAAATTTTGTGTCATTTTGACAAAGCGTACAGGCGTGACACTCAATAGTGTGAATTTTCACCTTAGGGGGCGCTATGGAGCCATTTTGCATTTTCTTGTTTGGGCGACTTCGGAATATCAAATTTTTCACCAGGCCCGGTCGTCCTGCCAAATTTCATGAGTTTTCGCCAGTGGGAAAGTGGGCCATTTTCCAGTTCAAAGGGGAGGAAAAAGAAAAAAGAAACAAAGAAAAACCCCTTGGGGAATAATAGGGCTCTCGCAGCTGCTTAGCAGCTACGCTCGGGCCCTAACTAGGACCCCGTTGGGGCACTGGCGGGCCCGAGCCGTGTCGCGTCCCCCCCCCCCCCCCAACGTGCTGCCTCCCCGTCCCATTTGTGTCCTCTGGCCATCGCCCTCTCTGGTAACGCCCATCACTGCAAAGACCCTTTTCCTTCATCTGCGTTTGCTGTTCTTCCTGCCAGTGCGTGTTGCTTTCACTTACACTTGCCACAGCCAGCCTCGTGAGTGCCTAGCCTATTGGATATCACTGTCACCTACACAGGACAGTCATTACCTTTCTATTAATACTTTGTGTTTTAATTTCACATTAATTTCCATATTGTATAAACGACTGGAAAAAACTTGAGCCCCTGCCCCTGTATAATCATGTGCATGTCTCTGTTCTAGCTCCAAGGTGAATCTTCACTGCTCATGTTCTCCTCAGAAGCACTCACCTCACTCCCCTCAGGTTACTGTACACATGCACCAACTGCCTGCTTCAGGTTTGGATGGAGCTTCATGGTTGTCTTTTGGAGAAATGAGCAGTCAAGTTGTATTTGAAATTTGATTTTTTTCAGGGGCAAAAGGAGCCTCTGCATTCTTGTCAAATATGTAAATAGCATGTTTTTGCAGGTGCTAAAAACCAGACTCTGGTGTGTGTGTGTGTGTGTGTGTGTGTGTGTGTGTGTGTGTGTGTGTGTGTGTGTGTGTGTGCGTGTGTGTGTGTCTGTGTGTGCGTTCAAGTCACATGACATATTTAACCGGATGTAGCTGCAAGACGGAGCCTCGTTGACTCTCCGTTTCAACTTATCTCAAAAGTGAGGACCTCAACCTATATACCAGTTTTTAAATTGTGTTGATAGGCCAAATAAAACCAGAGTTATGATAAATTATGTCCGCGATACTTTTTTTCTGCTTATTTTGATCACGTTCGGCGCTCGATCGCGCTGTATGAGACAGGAAAACATAGCATGCAGACATTAGCGACAGCTCTTACAGGCGGAAAAGGCTTGCCAAAAGAAAAAAAAAACACACCACAACATCTCTCCTATTGGTGGAAAACTTCACCACAACAACCAATCCAAAATTATATGGTGACTGATTGACAAGGGGCGGGCGCTTACGTTCTTCCTGCAACATGAGAAGGGAGGGAGGGACTCTCAGCAGGGATGCAGTCTGGGACACGTAGTTGCAAACCTAGCGACTTTGTTGTTAGATTCAATGACTTTTCAGACCCCCTAACGACTTTTTTTTAGAAAGAAAGGGACTTTTATCGACTTCTTCTGGAGTTTAGAGACTCTGACATGAAGCAGGCTTTCCTTACTGAGGAGTTAGCAACGCTGCTAAGGGTGCAGAGCCACACATGCGCTCAGAGCTCTGCATGGGAGACTGAAGCTGACAGAGCTGCAGCAGTTAGCAGGTTTCAACCTCAGAGACCACCAGGGGTTCATGTTGAGGCATTTTAATTTTTTTTTTTTTTTGTGCCATAGACACTGTCAGCACAATCTGCAGTTACACTAACAAAAATGCTGCAAAAAACAAAGAATTATGGAAAAATTACACATGGACTGACATAGAGGAGGATCTATACAAGTTTTTTACATCATGTTTTACATCATGCATCATTTACATCATGTTTTTTTGTAGTGGCATAAATAAAAAGTGACATTTGTGAGACTATACAGTGTTTTGTAAATAATTTTACAAAGAACGCCTGGGCCATTGCCTGCATTTTGATGTAAATAGAGGTAAATCACTATGTTCTTTGTTAAAAATTTGCATATGTTTTGAAGTTTACAATTTTTATTTGAAGTTTAAGTTTTAAAAACAGTTCATCACACATATTTGTGGTTTTCACAGTAAAAATGTTACTTTTTTCCACTCGGATTTTATGTTTTGTGTGTGAATTTGGGTCCATTGTGTAAATTCAGTATGTCAACATGATAAAATAACTGTAAATTCGCACAGGTGAGGTTGTGCTGAAAAAAATGATACCAGGCAAGGCACGTGATTGTCAAATTTTGTGTCAATATGACAAAGCGTATAGGCGTGAATCTCAACAATATGTATTTTCACCTTAGAGGACAAGAAAAAATGGACTTTTTTCTCCTGCCATGGGGGGCGCTCTTTTGGGGAGTAAAAATTCCTTCACAAATGTGTTGATGGCTGGACATTGCATCATCCTAGAAAACTTGGAGGCCAGTGAGGACAAAAATAAAAAGTTATAAGACTTTTAAATATGTGGATTTTAGGGTTATCTTTGGCGCCCCCTAGAACCTAAACCGTGGGGTGCAGCGTCATGATTTTGATAACTTTTAATGGCCATGGGGTGTAGATTGGCCTGAGCAAATGTGGTGCCGGTGGAACGAAAGCCTTAGGAGGAGTTAGCGAAATTCCAATGTGTGCGGATCGGCAAAAAATGCGGAATAACCCTTTAACCGTACATTTGACAGATACGGGCGCATTGACTTTTTCGTAGATCTTATTGAGTTACATGTGTGTGTCAATTTTTGTGTCATTTTGACAAAGCGTATAGGCGTGACACTCAACAATGTGTATTTTCACCTTAGGGGACATGAAAAAATGGACTTTTTTCTCCTGCCATGGGGGGGCGCTCTTTTGGGGAGTAAAAATTCCTTCACAAATGTGTTGATGGCTGGACATTGCATCATCCTAGAAAACTTGGAGGCCAGTGAGGACAAAAATAAAAAGTTATAAGACTTTTAAATATGTGGATTTTAGTGTTATCTTTGGCGCCCCCTAGAACCTAAACCTTGGGGTGCAGCGTCATGATTTTGATAACTTTTAATGGCCACGGGGTGTAGATTGGCCTGAGCAAATGTGGTGCCGGTGGAACGAAAGCCTTCGGAGGAGTTAGCGAAATTCCAATGTGTGCGGATCGGCAAAAAATGCGAAATAACCCTTTAACCGTAATTTTGACAGATACGGCCGCACTGACTTTTTTGTAGATCTTATTGAGATACATATGTGTGTCAATTTTTGTGTCAATATGACAAAGCGTACAGGCGTGACAGTCAATAGTGTGAATTTTCACCTTAGGGGGCGCTATGGAGCCATTTTGCATTTTATTGTTTGGGCGACTTCAGAATATCAAATTTTTCACCAGGCCCGGTCATCCTGCCAAATTTCATGAGTTTTCGCCAGTGGGAAGTGGGCCATTTTCCAGTTCAAAGGGGAGGAAAAAGAAAAAAGAAAGAAAGAAACAAAGAAAAACCACTTGGGGAATAATAGGGCCTACGCCCGGCTGCTCTGCAGCTGGCTCGGGCCCTAAAAAGAAGAATCCATCAGGAACAAGAGGGCTCTCGCAGCTGCTTAGCAGCTACGCTCGGGCCCTAATAAGATACAAGTTACACAATCTACATAAACTCTATAGACTCTTGCACATTGAAAAAGGTAAATAGTTCGCATAGAGATGGAAAAAAAGAAATACACTCATAATAAAATATAAAAGTGGCATATGACGGTGTGTGTGTGCGTGTGTGTGTGTGTGTGTGTGTGTGTGTGTGTGTGTGTGTGTGTGTGTGTGTGTGTGTATGTGTGTGCGTGATGGGTGGATGGTTGCAGCATGTGAGCTAGGTGGGTGGTGTCTGCCGCCTATTCCCTACTGTCCTCAGTCACCTCCTACCCCCCAGTGAGGAGTTGTACAGTCTGATGGCCTGGGGGATAAAGGAGTTCCTGAGTCTGTTGGTCCGACACTTGGGAAGGATCAGTTTCTCACTGAACAGACACCTCTGGCTGCTGATGACAGAGTGTAGCGGATGACTGGCCTTGTCCATGATCTCCAGCAGTTTGTTAAGTGTCCGCGTCTCTGTCACAGTCACCAGAGAGGCCAGCTTCATGCCGACCACAGAGCCGGCCTTCCTGATCAGTTTGTCTAGTCTGGATGCGTCCTTCTTGGATGTGCCGCCTCCCCAGCACACCACGGTGTAAAAAAGGACACTGGCAACCACAGACTGGTAGAACATCCACAGCAGTTTGCTGCAGATGTTAAAGGACCGGAGTCTCCTCAGGAAGTATAACCTGCTCTGGGTCTTCAGGTATAGATGGCTGGTGTGTGCTGACCAGTCCAGTTTGTTGTCCAGCCACAGCCCAAGGTATTTGTAGGAGTCGACAGACTCCACCTCAACTCCCTCGAGCAGGACTGGTCTCGGCTTCGGTCTGGACCTCCCAAAGTCTATGAGCAGGGTCCTCATGTATCAACACTGGTGGCGCCAGAAAACCTTGCGTCCGCCAAGATCGGCGCACACGTCCAGATTTATCATCGCGAAACGAGCGTCGGTTCCAGCGCTAATCAACGCAAAGTGAGGAGATGGTGTAGAAGTTGGCGTTGAGCCGATACTTGTGTTGACGGCACTTTGGCGACGCTGTGTGGCGGTGTTTGGTGACTCA